CAGCCCCAAAAAAAAAAAAAAACCAACACCACGTGCGAAAAACCGAGACAGTGCATCCATTTAAATTTAAATTATGCCTACCCCAGTTTTCAATAGTAATCGAAAAAATATAAAATTTTAAAATGGAAGTACATTACAGTACAGTAATTCCGATTTGGAATCTTTCGCCCATCTGTCGATAAAAGTAGTCAAGAATAGACGAGCTAATTATCGGAAAAATCTTGCTTGAATAATAATCGAAGGATTATTGCAGCTTCCTTTCCATCGTTTTAGAATCTCAGAGTGACCTTCAAAAACAAATTGACCTTAGAGATATTATTACGAACTCCCTTCCTACATTTGAGACACGTAAAAATCGCCGACATTTCGGAAAAATTAGAAGTTTTCCCGCTGTTCTGAGGTTTTCAAGATCTTTCAATCGTAAACATTATCTGTATTTTTGTAAAAGTGAAATGAGATTTTTCGGAATTATGGCACGATTGGAACTGAAAAGCAAACGGCAATCTCAGCATGAATAACAATTCACCAGGGAAATTTTCGATACACGGTTCAATAATTTCCTTTGGAAAATCTTGAGAGAAAAACAAATTCGCTGTCACGACGAGGCCATGAAAAACCAAGAAAACCGCCAAAACGAGCTTCCGATGATAATCTGAAAGAGTTCTTCCGGTTCTCAGGCCTCTTGAAGATGGACATGAAGTACTAATTACAAAATAGATTAACTTTAAACGCGGAGCTGGGAATTTTATTCGGTTTAGATTGGTTCAATTGAACGAAAAATCAAGGCGAAAAATGAGCCAAAATTTAGAGGAATAAAGAAAAGATAGAAAAGAAAGAACTGACCGTAGCTCCGTAACGCAAAGCCAGTCCTTGCAAGGTGTCCCCACTGCGGACTCTGTGCTTGACGACTACTTTAGGCGGTTCTCTGTGACACAGCACAGGGGACGCCGCCAACGGCGACCCGCCGATCAGCGGCGACCCTCCGCCCAATCGCCCGTAATCCGCCTTCCGCAGCACCTTCATTCTGAAGGACTGAAAGCCGTCCGCCATGACTCCGAATCAAATTTCTTGTTTTTTTGACGAAGACGAACGCAAAAAGAAGAAAGTTGGAATAGTTTCGAAATCTTCGACGGGGGGAAACCACGGACGAAAATCAGAATCCACGAACAACCACCGAATTTAGGGCAGAGGATTTCAACCGCACCGATCGCAAGCGAGAACCGAAATGCTGATTGATTTCTTCTTCCTCGGGAATTTTCTTTCCTGGCGGATTAAAAGTTCATTCTACGAAGTTTTATTTTTCATTTTTTGCCTAGACAAAAACAAGGGTTCTTTCATAAGTTTCGTGTTTCCGTTTTCAGAGTTTTTCTGGATAGACGATCACGGAATAATATTCGATCAATGCATGAACCACTTTTTAAAATCTTTAATCACTCAAGTTAAGAATTTGAGATCCGCTGATGGATTTAATTTTCACGGAATAATATTGTATCAGATCCTTGCATGGCCAATTTTTAAAGTTGCAATCACGCAGGTTGATTTTTCCTTTTTTTTCAAGAAAACAGAAAGTAAAAAGTACATCTCAACTTTATAAGGCAATATGAGGTTCAACTTGTCACATTTGCCAATTTAAAACAGCTGCGAATAGGTGTGACCAAGAATTTCAATTTTTCGTTTCTTTTCAGAGGTGATGCCCCAGATTTGACAAGAGTGTTCAAATGAAGAAACACTTCTGATTTCGAATAGTTTTTTTATGGTAATTCTGAATGTGAAAATAGGTCGCAAAATTGGTGTAAAATGTGTCCCGAGTTCGGGGGCTGTAATTATTGTGGTGAAAATTTCGTCTTCTTTTTAAACAGAAAATCGTATCAAGTTCGTCATTTTCTATTCCGGAACTTCGGAAAATACCCATTACAGAAAAACTATCAAACGAATCCATCCCGGTGACGTGAAAAACTGGTCTTCAAAAAGGATTTCTCGTGAAAAACATTGCGAAATTTTCCTGCAGTGAACAATAAAAAAACCAGTTTATTTCCGAGGAATTCCAGATTCCGGAAAATGCGGCTTCAACAGGTTTTTTTTTTCTCTGCACGCTCATGCGCCATGTCTTCCCAGGCTATTGGAATATTCGAGAAATTCCCGAGACTCTTCCCTGGAACGGTTAATCGATTAACGTACTCATACGATGGAATAACTTGATTGTTTCTTCTTGTGATTCTTCCCCGTCTTCGTTTCTCCTTGTACAAGTCGGTTGAGCATCGAAATTTCCAGGCTCAGCGAGGATGAAAGTAAAATGGAGAGGTTTTATATTCATTCTCGTCGTCAGCACAGTGTGTTGCTGGGTCGCAGAAGCGAAGCGATGGAAAGCGAAGGAAACTGATCCCGACAGTACGTGTTGTTTTCTTTAATTGCATTCTATCGTTGGCCACACGTACCAGGATCAAAATGACCCGGATATTGCGTAGAATTTCCGAATGTAAAATTTGCGTGGGCCGCAAAACATTTTTCGGAAGAAATTCCTAGGAATTTAAGCCCCGTTTCTTATTTTTGCGAACTATTTCGCGCAGCGCGTGCCGCGAGCATCACGAATCGTCAGACAGTGATACGTCGGTGTCACTAGTTCTGCGCCAACCATCAATTCTCAGCATAACATCACTATCACTATGACCACATTTACTGTTGATCGTAATTCGATATATAGTCTAAAAACAGGTAAACGGCCTCATTTGAACAATATAATGTTCGCCTGACTTGCGGGGAAATAGAGAGAAAATAACGCGCGTTGAATTTGGTGCGACATCTAGACCTATCTGTTGAAATTTCATGCTCGCATCATGCGGCGCGTCGAACGTAAATTCGCGTTGTGTTGGTCGGGGAATTGAAAAGCGGACGAATACCGCGTAAAACTACTGATCTATTTGAAAATATATTACCAATAAACTGTACAGCACACATTCATCTGGAAATTTACGTCAAATCAACTTCACTAATTTATCTGAAAATATGTACTGTATGTCAAATCAGCAGTAGCATTGAATATGCAACTATATTTTCCGAAATTACAGTTCATCAATAGAATTTGGAGAGCAATTAAATATATAATGATAATGCCTGTGGAAGCCCTTGCTTCTGGAATAACTTTTTGAAAAGTGATGCCTGAAAAATATTTTTTACTGGTTATATCCCCCGGTTATTTAGGATTTAGTCCGCACCCGATTTTTTCCATGCCTTTGAATCAAGGCACAAAAAAAAAGGCGTTGGGTCATATGTCGCGTTGATTCTTCGAATTTTCGGTACCGCAATCTGAAAACCCAAACACGTGTGGACTGAATCTTTTCAGATACTGTATTCCAGTTTTTAACAATTCGATTACATTATATGATTTTAGTTGGAGAGGTTCACAACGTTGCTTCGTGTTACGCGTGCGGAATGCGAGGACATGATTCGCTTCGAAGGGACTGGCCAGATTGCAAAGGAGATTATTCGCAGTATATTGACACCTGTGGCGGAGGACGAATGCGTTGTTACGTTCTTTATGGAGCATGTGAGCATTTTTACTTCTACTTTTTTTTTTTTTGCCCGAGAGAAACATACAATTCAGTATTATTCCGTAAATTAGTTAGCGAAGGTATTTTCTTTGTTGCGCTGAATTCTTGCCTTCAACCCGCGGTTGGATAAGGCAGGTTATTTTGGCACTATCTGTTCAACAGATTTTGATGAAAATTGATCCTGATGTTATGCATTCGAAGTCCAGAAATTTGCAGATATTTTTCAAACCTCGTGCGTTTTCTAGTACAGTATATTCAGTACTTTTCCACAATTCGTCTGTATAAGATTAACGTGAGTGGTCTTGGAGCTAAATTTTCCATACAACTTTTTAAATATTTCAAAAATGCCACACTTTCGAAATTAGATGAGTGATCTATTCGAATTTCTATGGAGAAAATTCAGAACAATCTTCGTTCACTTTTTTGAGAAGTAAAAGGCATTCGTCCGATTCCGTTGTAGTCAGACTCGTAATTTTGTCTCCATCCATCCAAGTTTTTGTTGTGGTTGATTGAAGAAAAAACGCATTTTCCACGAAAGGAAAACCCATTAACCCTTTCCAGCCACGCATGATTTCCGAATGTGTCATTTATATAATTTCCAGCAAGGTCTGAGTGTAACGAAGCGTTTTACGATATTAAATCTTGTTGAGTCAATCGGTGGCAAAATGGGCTGAAAATCCAAGGGAGGTTGAAATTTGAACTTGAAAAATCTTGCAATATTTCGAATCAAGAGAAACTGAGCATTGTATAATGTGTGGATGATAAGTCCGAAAAGTTTGGATGTGATAATTCAATTCATTCGTTTATTTTTGAGCAGTTGACAATGCAACTTTTTGACGAATTTCCTGAAATTAAAAATGCCTCCTATATTTCATAGGTCCCAATGCCTCCCTCTTAAGGTGATATTACTGTATTTTGCACTTCCTTCAATTTACCTGCACACGATTTGATAATTATATAATACAGTGAGACCCCCACATGCGGACACCTCGACATGTGTACAATTTTACATAGGGACATATTTTCTCAAGTACCACGCGCCCTCAAGTAAGGCGTGCACAGGAGTTTTTCAGTGGAAAATTTTGCAAAAATCTTATCCTCAAGTAATACGCGCACCCCAATTTTTAGTGAATCTAAAACCATAAAATTTCTAAAATAAAAACAAAAAATTTGACTTTAGGCATGAATTGAACAAAAATCTAATCAATTTTCAACTTTTTCAGCACAAAAATGTTTTCTTCTTATATTTGTTCCAAATTTGAGGTAATATTAATTCATATTACGTTTGTATTCTTCCTAAAACTTCTTGAAAATGTTGTATACCCTCTTATGACGCGCACCCCTTTTTTTCTTCTGAAATTTGGTAAAAAAAAAAAAAGGTGCGCATGGTACTTGAGTAAATACAGTATTTTTTAAATGAAAATGGCATAAAAAAGCCCAACATATGGACACTGTCTCATCATGAGGACATTGCATGATAAAATTGCCAATAAATTCAACAAAAATTGACTTATTTGGCTTGATTGCAAGATTAAGATATTTCCAATCCTAAGGTTTATGCTAGAAAAATTCTTTGTCATTTCTCTCATAATTTTTCCATCCATTCAGCTAATTAAAAAAATTATCTATTGCATAGAGGGACTTCATTCTCTCTTTGTGACTTGAACCTTATTTTTGTAGATGCCAACATTTCTATGTACAGTACACAGAGATACACTACTCAATGCTCCAAATGTTCTTATTCTCAACTTTTTTATAAAAAACTTAGTTTAAGTTCACGGTTTGTGAAAAAAGTAACTTAAGACTTCTTATAAAGAAGGTATTTTGTGGTTAATTCTTCATATATTACATTCAGATACCCTTTTGTTCTAGACTCGACTTGAGGACAATTCAACTTAGGGACACTCTTGATGCACCAATTATGTCCGCATCTGCTGGGGGTCTCACTGTCTAACTGTATTTCAATTCTGCTCTTTCGCAGACGACTGGGAGAATTTCGGACGCACAGTCATCTCCAAGGGCTGCACATACGCCACATACTTTCAATTCATCTCCAGCCGAAGACGGAAGCGAGACACCGTCAATTCAGGCCTCGTAGAAAAAACAACAACAGCAGTAGCCGCCACTGGCGAAACGCCGCCACCGCCGCCGCCGTCGCGACGGTCCAAGCGTCACATCGGCATGTTGGGCAGTGGGACTTGCGGTTTTCTCTCGTCGCAAATGCCAGTCTACTATGGCTGGAACCTCACGCTCGACATGCACCCCATGTGCATGTGTGACGACAAGGCCAACTGCAACAACGAGGACTGGACGTGTCACTACGACCCCCAAGTGTGTCGCAATCACAGCACGCCGTCGCCGGAAATGAGGGTCCGACGAGGCATGAATGCGGCCTCGAAAGACGCGTCGATGTCAGCCATGTTTCTGCTGAATGCTTTGCTGCTGCTGTTGGTCGTGGTTCCGATGAATTGAAAAATGGGAGTTTTCTATGGTCTGTAAACAATACGAAGAAGAAAAAAAAAGATAGGCGCGAAAACATCAACAGCAGCGACAACCAAAAAAAAAAAAGGAAGAAAGAAAAAATGTTTTTCGAATTGAGAAAACTGGATTCTGCACACGCTTGTTTTTTTTTAGCGCCACTTCATGCGTTAGGTTTTGTTGAGTTAAGAAAAAATAAAAAAAAGTTACAGGCAGGGGAATTGTAAATGGATAAGGCTCTATAGCACCTGGTGCCAATTGGGGTTTTAGAGAACTATGAATTCCCACCCCTCTTTTGGTGATGATTTTACTTTTTTTTGTGGATCCCCTCTGATAGCAATGAATATGGAAAATGTTCATTGCAGCTAAATACATATTTCAGTTTTATCTTGAATTGGATTTTGAAGGAGTTTTTTTTCTTTCCAGGCAAAATAAGATCGGTGTTACTCATTTCAACCGAAAAATTTTGACAATGATGGGTTTCTTGGCGGGATAGGCCTTCGTTTTTTTATGGAAAGAAACTTTTTTCATAATTGGATATTGTATGTTGCATATCATGAACTTCGCAGAATTTTTAAAATGCAGAATTCAAAAGCATGAGCCAGCTGTGCACGATCATACTGTATTTGAATAGCTTGGATGAGAGAAACTAAACAAGGTTGAAAATTATAATTTGCAAAACCTGAGTAAGAGCAAGTTTATGGATCGATCCCATGGTAAAAAAAATTGTGTTGGGCTCATTAATTTTCATTAATGTCCGAAGAAGTGCCGAAGGTAGTCCAAATACTGTAGTAGATATGATTAACCGAGAAACACGAAACGAACTCCGTGTCCAATGTCTAGCCACAACCCAGTGGGCCGAGGATCGTACTTGGCTACTTGGTCTGACATCTGTACTACGTTACGTCAAATGTAATAAAGTTTTAGCATTCAAACAACCTAGGTGTCAGCCCTAACTTCCCGAAAGCGTTCGTCGAATTGTTCAAAACAATTTTCCGTATGAGGCCGTATAAAATGGCGCACAACTGTATAATTGTGCACTTGATTTGGGCAGAAAAATTGTGCTCAGAATTGGAAAAGCTTGATAAAATTAATCATCTTATTCGCACTAAATTGCAATGAGAGCTTGATTTAAACATGTCATAATGGGAAGCTGGTTAAATAACATGTCATAATGAGTTCATGTCTTGTTTTCTTCCAAAATTACCATCCAAATTAAAACCAAACGCCTTTTTCGTGGCTTATGTGTACAACGATTCTTGTAATGAATCCGAGCCCTGTTTGAATTCACCATTCAACTGGAAATTTGCATTCATGCGAAAATCATGACACAGCAGCATTATATTTTTTTTATTCTGGTATTGAACAAATTGCAGTCAATGCCAGAAGGAAATAATTTCAAACTAAGTGATCATTAAACTATTTTAGGATTATTAATCAATATTGATTTTGCACACTTTCTGAGTTGTTTGACTGCAAATATTTTAGTTTTTCGGTTCATAGACTGTACATACTGTTCGGTTCATCTACTGTACAGGTTTGTTTAACCAATTTAAGGGGTTTTCATGTGGGTTAGAGCTGCTATTGCTTGAGTTGTTTGACTGCAAATATTTTAGTTTTTCGGTTCATAGACTGTACATACTGTTCGGTTCATCTACTGTACAGGTTTGTTTAACCAATTTAAGGGGTTTTCATGTGGGTTAGAGCTGCTATTGCAAATATTTACTCATCCTCAAAATTTGCACCGAAGAAAATTGGGGATTTGAAAAGATTTTCCAAGCGTTTAATCTGCTTGAGTCTTCGGTTATTCCAAGAAAATAAAAAATAAAAACTTTCGTCTCGAAAGTGACCTGTATCATGCTTCGGTGGGCGAGTTCAATGGAAGCCGCTGTCGGTTAATTAAATATTCCCGGAAAAATTCCTAGAATGTTTTTCGCCTTCGGGCCACCGAGTCCCCTGGCTGGACCAAAAACAAAAAGAGCAGCAACACCTTTCATTAATTTTTTTCCCCCTTCATCCTCTTCCTTGCTTGTAGTCTTCATATTTATATATGCTTGGCCGGTTCCCTTTCCCGACGATAATTTCATCATTACCCTCGTCGTGTGACGAAACGCTCCGCATTGTTTATATCGTCGAGCCCCCTTGAGTTCCCGGGGTTTCGGTTGTGTGCTGTGCGTGAACTGACCCATCGCTGCGGGACCCGAGACCAGTTAGGTGCCGAGAGCCCGGCCCGCAGCACAACAGGGCCAACCAAGAAGGAAAGAAAAGAGTGTGTCCCTCAATTTCAGCCGGGGTTTTTTCTCATTTGCCAAGGGTTTCGCGGTTTTAGTATAGCGGCCCTCGGGAGTGCGAAAGGCATCAATTTCTTTGCGGAAAGTCAGATTAATCATCCCTTTTATGGTTTTTCTGTTCTCTTTTATTATTATTTAAAGTAATAAAACATATGCCGTATTGTGTAGGTTGTGGGTATATATACTCAGCCTCTCTTTCTGTTAATGACCGTCTTTGTTTTGATGACCCTGGGCCGTTGGGTCCGACCAGTGATTTTCTGCAGCTCCAAGTGTCGTAAAAATGTGAGCATAGACCTGCGTTGAAAAAAAAATTCTTATTTTCTTCAATTAAAAGGAAGAAACAGCAGTTATTTTTTTTTTGCTGACGTTCGTAGCTTATTCGTTTTATGTTTTGAAGATTAAAAAGTTTATATTTTGTCCTGCTAATTTCAACGACTCATTTCGAGCATGTGTTATGAATTTTTCTTTTTCGTTAGTTTTTATGGGAACGTCAGAGTTTTCGTTCTATTTTGGTGGTATGCGGACATGTTTGATTTGCAGCAACGGTATTTAATTTTCTTATGTTCGGTGCACATTGGTGAAAAGAAAATAATCTACGCTCGACAGGAAAGTTTCTCAAGAATTTTAATACATTTGTCATCTAAGATCGATTTTTAAAAATGCTGTGTTCTCCTTGCTGTATGTGGGAAGATATTGTTTTGTTGTTTAGAGTTCTCTCGTTGAAAAACATTTATTCAATTTAGGATGCTGCTGTACTACTGACGCCCCTAAAATAAGTTCTGAAAGTAATTTCTCTGAAATGGGATATTTGAGAAAATATCCCTTCCCTAAAACGAACTTTGCTGCCGGATCCAAGGTGTCAATCAATTTCTGTTATACTTATTTATTATATTTTTGAAACACTTACATATATTTTTCGGATTCCACGCAACTTTTATTCCCCTAAGATTATTATTCGAACTAGTTTAATAACCCGGATTCTAGTCCTAATTTGTGAATGTTTTCAATACCTGGCATCATAAATAGCCTTTTTCTCCGAATTAGGAAAATGAGGCGTGCCATGTTCTCAAAGAAATGAAGTATTGATGAAGATATTACTGCTTCAAACAAGGTAAAATTCGACGAAGTACTCAATCGGCTGACAGATTTGAGTTTTCTTCGAGATGCTACACGCCCTTTCGAAGAGGTAGATATGCTTCACATCGCCATAAAAGAAAGCATCATTAGACAGATTTATAATTTTTTAAATTAGGACTTCTTGCTTTCTCACTTTGAATTTTAAAAAATGTGGGGGCGCTGATTTTGGTTCGTGTAGGGTTAAAAGTGTTATAATCATGATTCCTCTTCGGAAGTCTTATACGAATTAGGCTTGATGAGCTCGTGGCTAAGAAGTACATCAGTATTGTTTATGTATTTGTGCACGAAAATTTAAAATGGCCAGCGTTTAATTTCGCAGTTTGAAAGATTCTAATTTTCACTGTTCCAACTCCTTTTCAGCTATCTCTAGTAAGTAATGCAAGCTTTTCGTGGGGCTGAAGACGCTATTATATAGTGTGTCAAAACGTTTCAAGCATAGCGTCCAAAACGATGAAAACAATTATGCACTCATTTCCAAGGAATAAAAGAGCACGGGTATTGATCTTTTCAAATGGCACTGAGTTCTTCAATTACTTTTTCATACTTAACTTTTTCATGTCCTCCTTTTATTGGTAATTTTTCGAATTCAGCAGGGAAACAGCAGTAACTTTCATAAATGATGCATCGCATTTTCCTCATGGCTCTGTTTTCCGCATTTTATTTGGCATGAAGAAGACATGGCCCTCAGTGAAGAATTGTGAAATTATTCTGAGTGCCTATCTTCAAAATTTGCTCATTGTTACTTCACTTACTTGAATCATCAATAAAGCTTCCGCGGCTTCTCGCAAGTGCCAATAAAGAAGTGCTCAACCAATATTTGTCGATTAGTAAAATATATCTCATCCGTATGCAGGCCATCGTTTTCACAATTTTATTTATAAAAATCACGAGAAAGCTGATTGTTGTAATTTGTACCTTTAGATCAATTATTTGCATTCTGGCAATTAATGTATGCCGATTGGTCCTAGATATCATCCGCTGGTCATCGTTTTCACATTTTTATTTATAAAAATCATGAGAAAGCTCATTGTTGAAATTTGTTAATTCATATTATTTATTTGTTAATTTTTTTCGATTAGAGCTCATCCGCTGGTCATCGTTTTCACGATTTTATTTATAAAAATTAAAGGGAAGGTGAGTGTTGGAATTTGTTGATTTAGATTAGTTATTTTAATTCTGGCAATGGCGACTGAACAACGGGACGAAATGTTATTCTCGTCTCTTGAGTATTTTAGATCATCAAACAAAGAAAAGGGGTTCTAGCTGACTTTTTTACGACGACGCCCACGATTTCTTCACGTGGAAATACTCACCATGGTACCCGCGGAAATTGCTTCAAACAAGGTAAAATTCGACGAAGTACTCAATCGGCTGACAGATTTGAGTTTTCTTCGAGATGCTACACGCCCTTTCGAAGAGGTAGATATGCTTCACATCGCCATAAAAGAAAGCATCATTGGACAGATTTATAATTTTTTCAATTAGGACTTCTTGCTTTCTCACTTTGAATTTTTTTTAATGTGGGGGCGCTGATTTTGGTTCGTGTAGGGTTAAAAGTGTTACAATCATGATTCCTCTTCGTAAGTCTAATGCGAATTAGGCTTGATGAGCACGTGGCTAAGAAGTACATCAGTACTGTTTAAGTATTTGTGCACGAAAATTTAAAATGGCCCGCGTTTAATTTCGTAGTTTGAAATATTCTAATTTTCACTGCTCCAACTCCTGTTCAGCTATCTCTAGTA